TACGGCAAGCCTGAGGATTTCACGGTAACAATAGTTACCGGTAGCGTGTCGTTTCCGTGGCGTCATTTTAACGGTACCGAAAAATAGTGTAACCATTAAAGTCACCGCACACGACTTGACTGTGTGATCAACGCGATTTCACTGTGCCTCTATGTGTGTTTGTGGTGTGGTGTGTGAGTGTGTTTCTTCTAATTTACTTTCGTTTTGTTTTGTTTTGTTTTCAGTGTTGGGGGGGACGCAACAGATAACGTTATGTGCGCATGCGGGTTGCTATTTTAGTCCGCAAACTGAGGAATCGCGCGGATGAAAGTTTGAGATGGCGGCGAAAAAAACTCACAAAGGTCTACTAATTACGACATTTAAAAAATGGGATTGCCAGTCTGATTTTTCGTATGAATCGTCCAAAGGGCATATCACTAAACTCACCTGGGATGTATGCACAGAACACGAGAGCGAGATACGACGAGAGGCACGATTACGAGGCAAGTTGGTCATTAGATTTGTAGGCTAATCGCTATGAAAAATATTATGAAACAGTATTGGTTATTCTATAATTTACTGGTTGTAGCATGGTACCTTTATACCTGATATCCTTCCAGATAGCATGATACTGATTCAATGCCACCACACACTCCTGAGCAAAGTTTATACTTGACTGACCGTGCAACCGCACCACTGGCTGAGATGACATGCATTCAAGATCATGTGATCAAACAAGCTTAAAATGTATTATTATTATTATTTACTTCCACACACAGCTTTATTTTCATGAAGAAAATACTCTAAAGGGAGGAGGTTGCCGGAGTGTGTGTGTCATTGTCAGGGATTAGTGTGGGCAGTGTGTTGTTGCAGCCAGACTCACATGAGGAGCAGCTCAGGCAGGCTGTTTTGATTGGACGCCTGGAAATGCTCAGGCTTTATAGGCAGGTGAATTAAATTTGGCCAACAGCTGACTCAAGTGTGCTGGCTCAGTTTGAGAGTCAGCTCATTCATCTCCACAGTACAAATTGCACACAATGCCCATATGATGATGAGCAATTATCAGACAAACTGACATGACCTTCTATTGTTTTATACACACACACACACACACACACACCAATGACATGCTTATGTCAGACTGAGCAAGTATTGTTGGCACTATTTACACAGCCTGGTTCATTGCAAACACATACAAATGAGCTGGCAAATACGTCAGACACAAGTGTAAAAACGGAGCAATGGGATCGCATCTCACCTTGGTACAGTAAAGCATCCAAACCTCGTACAGTCTCTCGCTAGATGCCATTACGCCACTGAGCGCCCGTTGGGCTGCCAACTCCACAAAGGTCACTTTCGTGGGAGCTTCATTGTCAAGTCAAGACCTCAACCTCGGTTGCTGGGCATCATCATCATCATGATCGTCCCACGCTGGCATTACATCACAGAAAACCAGAGAAATCCACTGAAAAGCGTCCAAGAAGGAATTGCTGATGACTGCTGGGGATTAAAAATCCTTCGTCTTCTCTGGATAAGGAGGAGACAGTCAGTATCCAGAATAATGATGACCCTGTCATAGAACACCGCAGATGTATTCAATAGTTACCGTACAAATAACGTAACGAATTTTGTCACTCTCGATGCACTTTGAGCTGCCCTACTATATCTAAGCAGAAACAGTCTGACTACTGTACCCGGTCAACACGTACACATGAAACATGTCTATTTCTCGTGTGTGCGCCATAAGCAAGCTACAACCGGCCTCAACAGTCCTGTTGTAACAGCTACGAAACACCTTCAGACATTTTCGGGCAAAATGTAAGGCATTAGACGACATTACCTGCTCAAGCTAACATCAAGCTAGCTGTCAAAACGCCCATTTCCAGCTGTTAACATTCCCCCTGTCATGTGACAGAAACTGCTCGTCTTACCGAACCTGTCAAACCGCAACGACCGAGAATGGCGGTACCTGTTTGTTTTGGTTTTGCCGAAGAGAATCCGGAGACACCTGGGTAGCGAAAACCACTCTCTTTGCCGGAGCAGATCACAGTCAAGTTGGCAAAAACGACGCGATCAGTGGAACGGAGTGGAGCCTTCTGTTCGATGGTGACGTTCGGTTTTTTCAGAACAAGAGAGTAGGTTTCCAAGGCATCCCAAATTGGAATTTAATCACAAAAAGGGCAACATTTAAGGTGTGCAGTCGCCCATTTGAAGATCATTGTTATGAATACTGTTTAAAAAATCATATATATATATATATATATATATATGACTTTTTTTTTTAATATGTTTGAAAAAATCCGCGATGCACAGCGTATATATATATATGGGACCGTGTATATACAGTGGTCTCTTATTTTGTTAACAAACCGGAAATTAATTACGGAAAGTAATTAGTGTATTTGTAAACTTACACTGGCAGTGTTATGCTTTTGTGTTGTCTCGCAGTACGTTTGTTAATTGTGTAATGTATTTATTATACGATGACAACAATAGGCAGTTGAGCGTCAAAATATACATTCGTATGTTTAATATTTACGACATTTTAAACTGCTTTACGTTGCCGATGTGGCCTTCAATATTTGCCAAAGCCTCCATCCGTGTTTCCTTTTTTGAGGTTGTACCGTCGCCCAGTGGAGAAAGTGTAAAGATGCAACGAATAAGAAGCATTCACAGTGAATAGCGGATTGTTTTGTCTTTCATAAACTAAAAAACACTTGAAGTATTTTTTTTATCAATTTGAATGAATAAAAGTCATGAGACCGAATTCACAATTGGATAACATACAAGTCGTGATTTGATTCTTCTCCCGGCATCCTCACTCAGATTCAAAGTTTGACAAGAAATTGTGATGTAATTCACATTTCACAATCCATATATCAAATCGAACGCGCTTCTTCTATTTCACCTCATGCAAATATAGTACGACAGCTGAACGTTGGAGCATTAAAAGACTGTCCAATATACAGTACGTAAGTTGAGCTATAAACAGCAGAGGGCAGATTGGCCTGTGAATAATTGGCCCCTCAAATCAAATGGGGCTCACATCTTGTGAGTTTCAGTTTGTCTTTAAATACTGTATGTAGTCTAATTAGCACCTCCCTCAAGGTCCTCGGCTTTTAATTGCAAGTTACTGCTCCCACGGCACAATAACGCCTGACGTGGCCTTGGACGTAAGGACAAATAGGCATCTACTTTACCATATGGAGCAAATGTTAGCTGGTTAGGAGAGCAGATGGCACTTGTGTTTAAAGAAAACTGGACAGAAAACCTCAGAGTCAACTACACCCCAGCACACTATGAAAAAAGTCATGAACTAAGAGGATTCAAAACAAAAGTGAGTCCTCCCTTATGTAATAGAATCTGGTAATAGCATTCAACAGTATTTTTACCCTGCTGAGCCTGTGAAGATATGAAATACTGTATTAAAGGAAAATTCTCTGAATTTTAGCCTGTGGCATAAAATACTTTTCATGTAAAAGGGTCATTCATGGCTCTTGGTAACTTTTCAATGCTCTAACATTTATTAAAAAAATATACCGGTACATACATAATGAATTTGTTGCATTTTTATATCATTATTATATCTGGTAAATGACGTATAATGTTCAGGAAGTTTTACTGACAGAAACTACGCATTGAAATAATTTGGATTTTGGGTGGATTGTTCAGACACGGCCTGTGAGTGTTCCATCTTGTTATTAGTATGTACTGCAAATTGGTTCCCAAATATTCAGTTTACTGCAATGTCGTGAATGTTACCTCACTGTCATAATATTTTCTCATGTACGTGCGGAGAGTTGTTCTTCGTTGAAATGCTTTTCATTGTAATGTGCAAAGAACAGAGATGAAAGTGGACTTTCCTGAAAATTCCGGAAAAAATAAAAAATTACACGTACTGTGTGTGTGTGTGTGTGTGTGTGTGTGTGTGTGTGTGTGTGTATGTGTGTGTGT